AAAACCTAGCTCAGTGATTCTCATTTGCAGCCAAGGCTGAGAACCACTGCTCTAGAGACCTTTGCTGTCAATATGGTGGTCACTAGCCATGGTGACTATTTAAATTCAAGTTAATTATAATAAAATAAAATTAAACAGTCAATTCTACAGTCACATTAGCCACTTTTCAAATGTTCAATAGTCCCATGTGGTTGGCTAGTGGCTATGATATTGCAGAACTTTCCCATCATCATAGAGAATTCTATTGGACAGCACTGTTCTAGACATTCTGGACGCATTTTAGCCTCTCCTCTGTTGCCTCTGAGCCTTTGCACAAGCTGTTCCATCTGCCAGAGTCAACCCTCACCTCCCCTCATCACACACACACGTAAACACTGCTTTACTCCAGCCAACTCCTGCTCATCTGTCACCTCTCCATTTAAAACATCACTTCCCCGAAGTAGCCTGTACGAGACCCTGAACTGGGTTGGGAGTCCCCACTATGTGTTCCCACGACACTTTTTCCTTCTCCAATCAGAATTCATTATTCATTATTGTTAACATTTATTAATTGTCTGGCTTCGCCTTTAACAGTAACAAATGCCTACTGAGCACCCACTCTGTGCCAGACACTATGCTAAGTGCTTTACATTTAACCCCACTTCACAGATGAGGAAACTGAGGCGAGGCAAAGTGAGGTACCTTCCCAGGCCATTCAAATCCAGAGCCATACCCTTACCCACCAAGCTCTCCACGGGGTGAGATCTTGCCTTTTTTTTTAATTTTTATTTTTTCTGTGTCCCAGTACCCAGAACAGTGGCCAGCACAAGAAGGCTTTGAAAGACTGATTGCCAGTGGTCCAATCATAATGCAGGGGGCATTACTGTACTGTTGGGGGGAACGAAGAGCAAGGGGAGACCCTCAAATCTCTCAGAAACATCATCACATCAGGTGACAATGACAATTGGGCAGACAACCCCAAATGCAAAAGCAGCTCATAAAAAGTCCTCGGATCGGTAGCCATTGTAAGGTTCGCGGTGCAGGAGACGAAGTCAGAGAGTCAGAGAGTCCAGCAAGTCAAAGGAGGAACTCCCATCTGCACTCCTGGGGGAGATTCACAGGTCCAAAGGCGGGGCCAGTGAAGTCGCACCAAAAGGGAGTGGAGGCTTTTTTTTTTTTTAATACAGCTGTTCATTGAGGGCAGGGGAGCATGAGCTGTGGGAGTCTCCGCAGGTTCTGCAGGGTTACTTGGGCTACCGATGTTAGTTACCCCTGTAGGGAGGCTAAGGAGGCGGTAGTAGACTCCAGGTCTGTCTGGAGTTTGTCCTTGAAATCCTGAGCAGAGACTAGGCTGTTCCTGAGGCCTCCCCCCTCCCCCCCGCCCCCCACGAGGCCTACTGAGGCAGAGATAAAGAAAGAAGGTACCCGGGTGCAGTGTAGTTTTGGGTACAGTTCCAAGTGACTCATCCCCCGGTTACCGGATTACTGGTCTGGTATCATATCCATGGGGCCAGGGTGGGCTTTGGAGTTTCGGATTCCCAAAGGGGAATGCCAGCCAAGGGAGGCTGACACTCACCTTGCCCCTGGGTTCCTGGAGGAGTTATGAGTGGGACGGCAGCCAGCAAAGCTCTTTGGAGAGAGGCGCATAGAAAGCAGTGCGAGACACTGGGCAGGGTGCGGGTCTCGTTGAGGAATAGTAGTGTGTTGAATAAGTTGGAGCCAAGAAGATAGGACTTTTACCCGGGGGGAGTCGGGCAGCTTCCCTTTAAGGTACTGTTCGGCCTTTAGCATGCTGTTGGAGACCTGGATTTTGGCCTCCTGGGCCAAGACATATTTCCGGGAGATGTAGATGGTCCCTGAAGGGGTCGAGCTCCAACCACTCCAGTATAGCCTTCCCATAATGCCCGTAACCCATCGCTGGTCCCAGGGATCTCAGACCCTGATGTTGAAGGTCCCATCCTTCCAGAAAAAGGGGCCAGACCTGACCTCATTATAGGCACCATGGGTGACAAAGCCAGACCAGTGGCAACCCCCATAGGTGTTGACATCTTGATTACACCTGTCTGGGTTCCGCTGGTCATAAGCAAAACAGGCATAGGGTCTGCCACCGTTGGACACTGACCGGAGATCGACAGCCATCAGGATCTCCGCCTGGCATCCGACCAGAGGGCAGTCCTGAGATCCTACCTGCTGGGTGACTTGTGTGCTGTCCTGGTAGTAGGTTTCACGGACCTTGCACCTCCACACATAAGCAGGTTGGGGGTGGGTGTAGGTTGCTCAGGGCCGGGAGGAGAAGAAGGAGGGGGAGGGTGACTAAGGCAGACCTTAGTGGAGCCCAACACCTCACACTTATATAAGTCATGCTGCTCCGGGGTCCTCTTGAGCCTGGAGAAGTGGTGCCACGATGGATCGCCAAGTAGTTTGCCCATGATGGGGGTTGTAAGGATTACAGTGTGAGGTCCCGTCCACCTAGGCTCCAAGGCTTTTGGATGTAGATTCTTAAGGAGGACCGAGTCACCCGGGTGAAGGGCTGATCCTCGGGAGCCCTGTTGGTCGGTTCTGGCTTGAGCAGAAACCTGTCCAGGTGTTCTCAGAGCAATTGCCTGAGTAAGGACAGATATGGAAGATAAGTACCCAGGGGAGGAGGATCAGTAGGGAGGTGG